GTGTACAAAAACGCATAAGGGATAAAGAGCCTTCATTGTAATTGGGGCGGTTTTGGCGCAGTGGTTAGAGCGTTGGTCATCAGATCAAGGGGCGTTGGTGAACTCCAGTTCGAATCCCGCCTCGGCAAGACACTTCACCCGCATTTGCTCCTGTGGGTATTGTCCGCAGTAATGACTCTTATATGTGTAATGTGTACTTGTAAAGCGCTTTGAGCACCTGTAAAAGCGCTCTAATAAAAAAAAAAAATGTAATGCATCATTGTGCCGCACAATTTAAACCCCAATGACACATGCCAAAATATACCAGAGATAAAAGACTTCTACGACACTGTTGAAAGGCTGTAAAAAAAGAGCACCTGAACTCAGGGTCGGCCCGTAGCTTTGGCTAGATGTTCGCCTAGGGCGCCAGATCTGGGGAGGTGCTGCGCTGGCAGTTCTGGGAGGGAAAAAAAACATTTTTGACCGTTGGCGCTCATCCTAATTTTCGACCTTGATGTAACAATATTCATAATTAAGTAAATGTAACACCCTTTTCATCCCGGTTACACGTTTCATTTGCCCTGTACGATGGGCGCTGTAAGTGATGAAAATGGGGGATGTTGGCTTATCTGGCGCCCGCAGCTCACAGCCAAAATGCGAGTGAGCGAGGGAGAGAGGGAGAGAGTGAGAGAGGGAGGGTGCACCGGTACCGCAGCTGTTGTTATTAGAATCTGGTGCTAGCTGCTCTAACGGATATAAGAAGAAGATGTTTCTACAATAATGTGGAGGGAGAGTCCTCTCCAGTCAGACTGAGAGGCTGATAACTACAGCTCAGTGAGGTAAAGTACTCTGAGTGTTTAGATAGTTCACTTTAGTCTAAGTTCAAACGGTTTGGTCACAATTTATGGAAACACATATTTCCAAGGCACTCCTTTATAATTATTGGGATAAACAGGTTTGAAATCATTTCAATGTATACTATAGGACAGTAACCAAACATATCATTTAAAACTGGAGATAAAAAAATATGCATAAATAAATAAAAGTTAAGGTAAAATAAGATATGAATGAACAACTAAAATAAGTTACATTCATTTGTTACAGTCAGGAGGGTAGTGATGACAGCTTGTAGGATTACTGGTCGTGCTAATGTTGTCTTGTGTTCACCTCTGTGTGTTCAGTGCCGTATGTCTGGAAAATAAAGACCCCCGCGGTTTATTTCATTTTAAGGATGAGCACCAAGCAACATCTCCAGGTGCTCCTTTGAGAACCAGGGCAAAAAAGTTATGTGCACCCCTGGCTATATGTATTCTTTAGTGGAAGCATCAAACGATGGGAGCTTTTGTAAACAGTGCCCAAGGCTGGCCAGCCTACACTGAAGAGACTATGCCCGACACGATGGGCATCAAGACAAGACGCCGTCCAATCATTGCGGTTCCGTTATGCTGACATTATGCAAGCGCTAACTAAGATAGACTTGCTCTCCAAAAAAAGCGAGGAACGTGCCGAGGCGACTGGCTTGAAAAAGGCCATGGAGAGCTTTGAGTTTGTTGTAATGACTGTAATACAGGGCAAGGTCCTTGAAACAGTCAACATTGTGTACCAAGCTCTCCAGCGCAAAGACGTGGACCTCTTACAGGCGACAGCAATGCTTAGTAACGCAACCGATCCACTTGCCCAACTCCGAGGAGAGTTTGATGGCTTAAAAGCGCACGCGCAAGACCTGGCATCCTCATGGGGTGTCCACAGTCTCTTCAAAGACAGACGCGCAAGGCGCACAAAGAGGCACTTTTCAGAGCTTTGTGAGGACCAGCGGCTCCAAGACCCAGGGGAGCATTTTAGAGTGGCGGTATTTTACGCAAATATCGATATTGTCGTTGCCCAACTCAAAAATCGATTTGTTGGAATGAGCGAAGTTGCACAGCGATTTTCTTTTCTGCTTCCCCGCAAACTTTTGCGCGCAACAGACAAGGATCTGTCTGAGTCCGCAAGTGCTTTATCAGGCCAGTATAAAGATGACCTGTCAGCCGAGTTTCCTTTCCAGATCCTGTCCCTCCGTAATGCTCTTAGGCCTACTATAAAGAAAATTGAGCGAGGAACAATCAAAGACCTTGCACAAAACCTGCTCATTGAAAATCAGTCCATTTTGCCAAGTATCCCTGATGTTGCCACAGCACTGAAATTGTTTTTAACTATACCCGTGACTGTTGCCAGTGCTGAGAGATCTTTCTCAAAACTTAAATTAATAAAGACTAGGGCTGTCAAGTTAACGCGTTAATAACGCAAAAAAAAATTAACGCCACTAATTATTTTAACGCGATTAACGCATGTGTATTTTTTGTCCTCGGCCGCCCCGTAGTTTCAGAGCGCATCGAGTTTAAAATACCATCTACAAGCTGATGCTGACAGCCCCGCTCCTGCCGCCCGCTTGTGGCAGACCACACTTCCACGCTCACCGGCAGGCACCGACTGGCCATCTGGAGGACCGGGAGGGTGTGTGTATGTGTGGCCCGAGCGAGAGAGAGAGAGACCTTACGTGCATTGTTGTTGTTAGCATCTGGTGCTAGCTAGCTGCGCTAACGGATATAAGGAGCTGTTTAAATGAAAACAGAGGAGCGACATTTCACCACAACTGCGCCGAGCACTTGACTTTATGCAGGAAGCCAGACAGTGGGACATTGTACGAAAAGTCAGCACACTCAGCACGGATAGTGCGCAACATGATTGCAGCGTCCAGGCAGCTCCCGTTCGAGCATATGCCTTGAGTTGCACATAGCTCCAACGATCCATCTCTCACACACACACACACACACACACACACACACACACACACACACACACACACACACACACACACACACACACACAGGTTGTTGTGTATAATATTCATGAGAATATTTGTCATTGTTCAAATGATAATAAACATTAGCATAAAGCATATTTGTCCACTCATATGTTAAGAGTATTACAAACTTGAAAAATATTCCTCTAAGGTACATTTAGAACAGATCAAAAATGTGCGATTAATTTGCGATTAATCGCGATTAACTATTTTAATCGACTGACAGCCCTAATAAAGACATATTTGAGGAGCACAATGTCGCAAGAGAGACTGTCTGGGTTAGCAGTCCTTAGTATTGAGAGCCGACGCGCGCGCAGTATAGACTGTTATACAGGACTTTGCGCAGAAGAATGCCAGGAGACGCGCTCGTATAAAATAATAGGCCTACAAAGCAGCTCCTGATTGCATCCTCTATGTAGCCTATAGGATGTGTTTTATTTGTTTGTAGGCTACTTTTCTTTTATACAGAATGTTATATGTGAATCGTTCCGTTGTGTGAACTCCAATGCTGATAGGCTATAACGTTCTACAATATACCTTCATGTTACAAAAAATACACAGCCACTTGTTTGTATTTGTCAATGATGTTTAAATCAGATGTATATTATTATACAGTTCCTACTGACCTTACTGTTTAAATCAGATGTATATTATACAGAAAGTTCCTACTGACCTATAGGCCTACTGTTTACAAAAGATGCCTGAAAAAATAAACATTTAAAAAAGTGGCCGCGATGTCTATCCCATGTCACTCTATTATTGATTTAGGGGAGGGGGCGGGGCCCCATGGTCCGACCTGCGGGGGAGCCCCGAAATATTGCGCAACGCCACTGATTGGATATGGTGTTATTGGCTATGGCCATATTCTTATGATTATTTAAATGTATACAGTTCTGTTTCATATGGGTGTAGTCTCTTTATTTCCCCCTCAAAGTGCACCAGATTGATGCATTTAAGTCCAACATTTAAAAAAAAAAATCTTCCGCGGGGAGCATGCCCCCGGACCCCCCTATAGGATTTGAGGTCCACCTCCACTTAAAATATGTTCACATGGATAGGTTCCTAAATAGATTTGCACTTTTAAAAAAAAATAGTAACCCATGTCCATATGTTTATTCTGGGGTAGTTTTAAAGTTTAGGGCTATCACTATGGGCAGCAACGCTGTAAATATTGACAAATAAATCCAGGAAAATTACACAAAATAAAACTGGTAGTGGCCTGGTTGGGTGTATAATTCCCGGCCTGACTTATTGTCCCAGTCCGGCCCTGAATATGAGTATTGATATGGCTGGGTGGAGTGGCCTCATTTATGCTGACATATTCTTCATGTCTCAACCAAGTTTCAGTGAGACAGCATATATCAATATTATAATCTGATATTAAATCATTTACCAATATTGCTTTAGATGCTAGAGATCTTATGTTTAAGAGACCACATTTAATATTCCTGTTTTGTTGCACTGTAGTAGTTGTTACATTTACTCTTATTAGGTTATTATGTATGACACCTCTATTAGGTTTTACCTTAACTTGTCCTTGGGCAGACACACACACCGCTAATATTGGGTATTTTATTGGGTTCGGGATTCCTATGGATGACTGCCTAGGAGAGAGCGCAGAGAAGCGTGTAAGACTGCGACTCCGCCTCCTGGTCTCAATAACAAAGACATGCAAATATTACACTCATTAAAACTTATATATTATACATGTCATATAATAATATAACACATTAATACACCCTATATTATATAATAGAGGTAAGATATGAACAGTGAATGATATATAAACACTTTATTAAATCTATACATGTATAAAAACAACAGGTGTACTTCCGGCGGAGACCACATGGGGCAGCCTCTCTTTATCAGTTACAATGTACTATAAAAGTTTATCTACATAAATCCTATAACTTATTAATACAACACAACCATAATTAATACATGAATAAACTATCTTATACAGTAAATATATGAATATAAGCACTTTATTGAATCAACTCAATGTATTTCTGGGGGAGACCACGTGGGGGCAGCCTCTCTTTCCCGCGCTGCGAGGCCTCATCTTGGGCACCGGAAGCGGAAGTTCTTTCCTTTCTTGTTTCTGCTCCCAAAGAGACATACAGCGGTGAGTTTCTGTCTGCTTTAATCCGAGTAATATCTGCTGTCCAGGTAAGCATCCGCACTCCTGCCCGCGCGAGCCTCACCTGGCGCCGTGGCGCACTGTGTTTGTGGGGGAATTGTGTTTCTGAGTTAAACTCGGAGTCTCTTTTTATCCGTTTTTATCTCCGACTTTCTGAGAGAAGTGAGCCGAAGAAACTCAGCGCCATTTTGTGCCCGAGCCGCGGCAAGAAACCCGTTTACTGAGTTTAATGTGTAATAAATAACACGGTGAAGACGAACAAGAGGCTTCTCGTGTCTTTAGAGAGTCTTTAAAGAGGGGAAGCCGGTGGAACAGCGCAGGTGAGGCTGGAGCTAACATGCTAACAGTAGCATCGTGACACACTCCGTTTAACCGTTTTTAATATAAAGAGTGCTCAGAATGTGATTACATGGTGACGTCACACTGTTTTATAGTCAGTGTTTTTAATCAGAAGGTTGTTAGCATGTGTTAGCTTAGCTGCAGGTTGACCACCATGTGAGCAGTCAGCACGCCTGCTTCCATTACCGGACATCTGTAGTTCTTATTGAATCTGAGTAAAGGAAGAACTACAGACCCTCAGGTGAGTGGGGGGGCTGCAGACACCAGTACACATCACTGGGGACTGGATGAGTACTCTTGTGTGTTCTCTACTCTTAACATTAATGTAGAGTTCCCTGTGAAGCATCTTCTAGTGTTTCTATGAGCTTTTATTTTGAAGTAACTGCTATCTGCAGGGTTAGTCTCTTATTGTGAAATGAGCCATTAACCTTCCATCACATTCAGCTGAGGCTTTTATCCAGAGCGACTTACAGAACATCAGGTTTCATAGAGCCACACATTTCAAGTGCTGCTCAACTGGCTTTAGATAAGCCAGTCCTTTGTTAGTATATAAGTGTTAGTATTATATATATATATATTATATAAGTGTTAGTATATAAGACAGTTTAAAGTGAATGTTTCTATGAGCTTTTATTTTGAAGTAACTGCAGGGGTGGTGTCTCCGGGGCTTCTAATGAGACTTTAAAGACGGTTGGTGCTGAGCTTAGAAGTTAATGTTTCTGTGTTTACACTTGACCTGCTCTCAGACAGGAAGTGCTTAGTCTACAGACAGGAAGTACCTGCTGAAAGGGCTTCAGTCTGCTCACATCGGGTCTGAAGTAGTAACTTCATCTGAGTAATGCTAACAGGTTGTGTGGACTTTAACTCAGTGGTGTGTTTGAGCGCTAGCCAATAGGAGTGCAGCGTGATGTCACTGTTCCAGCAGTAGTGTGTGATGTATGTAAAGGTGTGTGGTGCAGTGCGTTGGTGTACTGATCAGGGGGTAACAGGTTCAAACCCCACTGCAGTCAGCAAAGTGCTCCTGTGGGGAGGCCACTCAGAGGGGCTGTATTGAAAGGTGTGTGTGCTCCTCCTGCAGAACATGGCTCCACGTAAAGGCAAGGAGAAGAAGGAGGAGCAGGTGATCAGCCTTGGCCCTCAGGTCGCTGAAGGAGAGAACGTGTTCGGGGTCTGCCACATCTTCGCCTCCTTCAACGACACCTTCGTGCACGTCACCGACCTCTCCGGAAAGTACGTATTGTTATATTAATATAATCTGTGGTCAGTAATTGGTCGGTTTCACCCTGTGCTCTGATTGGTCCTCTGACTCTCACCCTGTGCTCTGATTGGTCCTCTGACTCTCACCCTGTGCTCTGATTGGTCCTCTGACTCTCACCCTGTGCTCTGATTGGTCCTCTGACTCTCACCCTGTGCTCTGATTGGTCCTCTGACTCTCACCCTGTGCTCTGATTGGTCCTCTGACTCTCACCCTGTTCTCTGATTGGTCCTCTGACTCTCACCCTGGGCTCTGATTGGTCCTCTGACTCTCACCCTGCTGTGCTCTGATTGGTCCTCTGACTCTCACCCTGGGCTCTGATTGGTCCTCTGACTCTCACCCTGGGCTCTGATTGGTCCTCTGACTCTCACCCTGTGCTCTGATTGGTCCTCTGACTCTCACCCTGCTGTGCTCTGATTGGTCCTCTGACTCTCACCCTGCTGTGCTCTGATTGGTCCTCTGACTCTCACCCTGCTGTGCTCTGATTGGTCCTCTGACTCTCCCCCTGTGCTCTGATTGGCTGCAGGGAGACGATCTGCCGTGTGACCGGTGGGATGAAGGTGAAAGCTGACAGAGACGAGTCCTCTCCGTACGCCGCCATGCTGGCAGCTCAGGATGTGGCTCAGCGCTGCAAAGAGCTGGGGATCACTGCTCTGCATATTAAACTGAGGGCTACTGGGGGCAACAGGTACACACACACACTCTGCATATTAAACTGAGGGCTACTGGGGGCAACAGGTACACACACACACACACTCTGCATATTAAACTGAGGGCTACTGGGGGCAACAGGTACACACACACACTCTGCATATTAAACTGAGGGCTACTGGGGGCAACAGGTACACACACTCACTCTGCATATTAAACTGAGGGCTACTGGGGGCAACAGGTACACACACACTCTGCATATTAAACTGAGGGCTACTGGGGGCAACAGGTACACACACACTCTGCATATTAAACTGAGGGCTACTGGGGGCAACAGGTACACACACACACTGCATATTAAACTGAGGGCTACTGGGGGCAACAGGTACACACACACACTCTGCATATTAAACTGAGCGCTACTGGGGGCAACAGGTACACACACTGCATATTAAACTGAGGGCTACTGGGGGCAACAGGTACACACACTGCATATTAAACTGAGGGCTACTGGGGGCAACAGGTACACACACACTCTGCATATTAAACTGAGGGCTACTGGGGGCAACAGGTACACACACTCTGCATATTAAACTGAGGGCTACTGGGGGCAACAGGTACACACACACACTCTGCATATTAAACTGAGGGCTACTGGGGGCAACAGGTACACACACACACACACTCTGCATATTAAACTGAGGGCTACTGGGGCAACAGGTACACACACACTCTGCATATTAAACTGAGGGCTACTGGGGGCAACAGGTACACACACACACGCATATTAAACTGAGGGCTACTGTGGGGCAACAGGTACACACACCACTCTGCATATTAAACTGAGGGCCTACTGGGGGGCAACAGGTACACACACTCGCATATTAAACTGAGGGCTACTGGGGGGCAACAGGTAAAACACACACACACACTCTGCATATTAAACTGAGGCTACTGGGGGGCAACAGGTACACACACACACTCTGCATATTAAACTGAGGGCTACTGGGGGCAACAGGTACACACACACTCTGCATATTAAACTGAGGGCTACTGGGGGCAACAGGTACACACACTCTGCATATTAAACTGAGGGCTACTGGGGGCAACAGGTACACACACACTCTGTATATTAAACTGAGGGCTACTGGGGGCAACAGGTACACACACACTCTCTGCATATTAAACTGAGGGCTACTGGGGGCAACAGGTACACACACACACACTGCATATTAAACTGAGGGCTACTGGGGGCAACAGGTACACACACACTGCATATTAAACTGAGGGCTACTGGGGGCAACAGGTACACACACACTGCATATTAAACTGAGGGCTACTGGGGGCAACAGGTACACACACACTCTGCATATTAAACTGAGCGCTACTGGGGGCAACAGGTACACACACACACTCTGCATATTAAACTGAGGGCTACTGGGGGCAACAGGTACACACACACTGCATATTAAACTGAGGGCTACTGGGGGCAACAGGTACACACACACACTCTGCATATTAAACTGAGGGCTACTGGGGGCAACAGGTACACACACACACTCTGCATATTAAACTGAGGGCTACTGGGGGCAACAGGTAACACACACACTGCATATTAAACTGAGGGCTACTGGGGGCAACAGGTACACACACACACACTGCATATTAAACTGAGGGCTACTGGGGGCAACAGGTACACACACACACTGCATATTAAACTGAGGGCTACTGGGGGCAACAGGTACACACACACTGCATATTAAACTGAGGGCTACTGGGGGCAACAGGTACACACACTGCATATTAAACTGAGGGCTACTGGGGGCAACAGGTACACACACACACACTGCATATTAAACTGAGGGCTACTGGGGGCAACAGGTACACACACACTGCATATTAAACTGAGGGCTACTGGGGGCAACAGGTACACACACACTGCATATTAAACTGAGGGCTACTGGGGGCAACAGGTACACACACACTGCATATTAAACTGAGGGCTACTGGGGGCAACAGGTACACACACACTGCATATTAAACTGAGCGCTACTGGGGGCAACAGGTACACACACACACTGCATATTAAACTGAGGGCTACTGGGGGCAACAGGTACACACACACTGCATATTAAACTGAGGGCTACTGGGGGCAACAGGTACACACACACTGCATATTAAACTGAGCGCTACTGGGGGCAACAGGTACACACACTGCATATTAAACTGAGGGCTACTGGGGGCAACAGGTACACACACACTGCATATTAAACTGAGGGCTACTGGGGGAAACAGGTACACACACTGTCAGTGATGGTCTGCTCTCTGAGGGTCTGCTCTCTGAGGGTCTGCTCTCTGAGGGTCAGCTCTCTGAGGGTCTCCTGGTTAGCCACTGCTTTAGCACGGAGCTGACCTGTCTCTCTCTCCTCAGAACAAAGACCCCCGGCCCCGGAGCGCAGTCTGCTCTCAGAGCGCTGGCTCGGTCCGGCATGAAGATCGGACGCATCGGTGAGACACACACACTTTCACTCACTGTCACACACACACTCTGTCACACACTCACTGTCTCACTCACTGTCTCACACACACACTGTCTCACACACACACTGTCTCACTCACTGTCTCACACACACACTGTCTCACACACACACTTTCACACTCTGTCACACACACTCTGTCACACACACTGTCTCACACACACTCTGTCTCACTCACTGTCTCACACACACTCTGTCACACACACTGTCTCACTCACTGTCTCACACACACTGTCTCACACACACACTCTGTCACACACACTGTCTCACACACACACTGTCTCACACACACTCTGTCTCACTCACTGTCTCACACACACTCTGTCACACACTGTCTCACTCACTGTCTCACACACACTGTCTCACACACACACTTTCACTCACTGTCACACACCGTCACACACACTCTGTCACACACACTGTCTCACACACACACTTTCACTCACTGTCACTCACACTCTGTCTCACACACACACTCTGAGTGTTGCCCTGACCCTGCTCTCCCTCCTCAGAGGATGTGACTCCCATCCCCTCAGACTCCACCCGGAGGAAGGGAGGTCGTCGCGGTCGCCGTCTGTAGCTGCTGCCGCGCTTTCTGACAATAAAGACTTTCAGATCCATCTCCGTGTCTCTCCTCCTTCCTCCACACGATGTTCAGACTCCTCAGTGCCATGTCTCTCTCTCTCTGTGTCTCTCTCTGTGTCTCTCTGTGTCTCTCTCTGTGTCTCCCTCTCTCTCTGTGTCTCTCTCTCTCTGTGTCTCTCTCTCTGTGTCTCTGTCTCTCTGTGTCTCTCTGTGTCTCTCTCTCTGTCTCCCTCTCTCTCTGTGTCTCTCTCTCTGTCTCCCTCTCTCTCTGTGTCTCTCTCTCTCTGTGTCTCTGTCTCTCTCTGTCTCCCTCTCTCTCTGTGTCTCTGTCTCTCTCTCTGTCTCCCTCTCTCTCTGTGTCTCTCTCTCTCTGTGTCTCTCTGTGTCTCTCTCTCTGTCTCCCTCTCTCTCTGTGTCTCTCTCTCTCTGTGTCTCTCTCTCTGTGTCTCTGTCTCTCTCTGTCTCCCTCTCTCTCTGTGTCTCTGTCTCTCTCTGTCTCTCTCTCTCTCTGTGTCTCTCTCTCTCTCTGTGTCTCTCTCTCTCTGTGTCTCTCTCTCTCTGTGTCTCTCTCTCTGTGTCTCTCTCTCTGTGTCTCTCTCTCTCTGTGTCTCTCTCTCTGTGTCTCTCTCTCTCTGTGTCTCTCTCTCTGTGTCTCTCTGTGTCTCTCTCTCTCTGTGTCTCTCTCTCTCTGTGTCTCTCTCTCTGTGTCTCTCTCTCTCTGTGTCTCTCTCTCTGTGTCTCTCTGTCTCTCTGTGTCTCTCTGTCTCTCTGTGTCTCTCTCTCTCTGTGTCTCTCTCTCTCTGTGTCTCTCTCTCTCTCTGTGTGTCTCTCTCTCTCTCCTCCTCCTTCCTCCACACGATGTTCAGACTCCTAAAGTGCTAAGTCTCTCTCTTTACATTACATTGCATTGCATTTAGCTGAGGCTTTTATCCAAAGCGACTTACAATAAGTGCATTCGACCAGGAAGACACAACCTTGAAGAAAACAGAATCATAAAGTACATCAGGTTTCATAGAGCCAAACATTTCAAGTGCTACTCAACTGGCTTTAGATAAGCCAGTCCTTTATTAGTATAAAAGTGCTTCGTTAATAGTTCTATCGCTCGAGGTGGAGTCGAAAGAGATGAGTTTTCAGTCTGGAAGGTGTGTAAGCTTTCTGCTGTCCTGATGTCAATGGGGAGCTCATTCCACCATCTTGGAGCCAGGATAGCAAACCCACGTGTTTCTGCTGATGGGAACTTGGGTCCCCCTCGCAGCGAGGGTGCAGCGAGTCGTTTGGTTGATGCAGAGCGTAGTGCACGTGCTGGGGTGTACGGTTTAACCATGTCCTGGATGTAGGAAGGGCCAGATCCATTCGCAGCATGGTACGCAAGTACCAGTGTCTTGAAGTGTATTCTAGCAGTTACCGGTTACATCATAACAACTGAACCGTTTGTTGCAGTCCCTCTCTCACTTTTTTAAAATTCATTGTGAGAATTGAGCTGGAGCTTATTGTCCTGCCAGGAGTTTGTAAATCTGGGCCGAAATGGAGTCGGGGTCGTTCTCACACCCATCAGGTGCTCATTGGTTTCAGGGCAAACACAGGTAGGTGAAGAAAGAGAGAACTATTGGAAGCAGAAACAACACAGCGTAATACCATCTGACAAAGGCCTGAGCTCTAATGCTTCAATGAACTGTTCTTTATCATATACTCAGATCAATAGAGACAGAGATGTTAAGTTATAAATCAAGGGTTTTTATTATTATTTACAGAAAGGGAGGGGAACCTTTTTCCTTTCAATGTTTACAACATCCTCCGAGGGTCGTACAAATGATTGAACTCAACTTTTGCTTAAAAAAACTATGAAACATCTCCAGACTCCGGCCCTCTCTCCCCGACCCCGTTGCAGAAACATTAATGCATACCATCATCTCCTCTCGTCTGGACTACTGCAATGGAGTTCTGTTCGGGGTCACCAGCAAAGCCCTGGACCGGCTCCAGTACGTCCAGAACTCTGCAGCCAGGCTCCTCACCCGCACTAAGCCCTGGCAACACATCACCCCTACCCTCCTCCACCTTCACTGGCTCCCGGTCAAGTCACGCATCCAGTACAAACTCCTCCTGCTAACTTACAAATCTCTCCACTCCCTAGCCCCTCCATACATCTCTGACCTCCTTCAGCCCTACACCCCCTCTCGTCACCTTGTCCTCTGACAAAGGGCTGCTCTCCATCCAGCGCTCCAAGCTGAAAACATTTGGCAACAGAGCCTTCAGTGTCGCAGCCCCCACCCTCTGGAACTCTCTCCCCTGTGCAATCAGGAATGCAGACATTCTGGACACCTTCAAAAAACACCTCAAACACCATCTGTTCACTCAGGCCTTTGGCCTCAACTAATATACAGTACTCAGCAACCTGTTCCTTTTCTTCAGCCTGTGTCTCTGTATGATTATTACTTTTTGTTTTGTTACTTCCCATTGTAAAGCGTCCTTGGGTTTCGTGAAAGGCGCTATATAAATTAAAATTATTATTATTATTAAAATCACAGCCCATTCATTTGACCTTTCTCTCATTCTGTGCAAAGAAAAAGCAACCTCTGAATCCAGATCTCTCACATGACTCACGTATGCACCACGTGCACGGTGTGGCGTGACCACCACAACAGAAAGATATGGACACAAGACGTGTGCAAATGTATTTAGTATCCTATCCATGTGAACATGATTTAAGTGGGGGGGACCTAACCTCCTCTCGGGGGGGGGACCTAACCTCCTCTAGGGGGGGGGGACCTAACCTCCTCTAGGGGAGAGGACCTAACCTCCTCTAGGGGGGGGGACCTAACCTCCTCTAGGGGGGGACCTAACCTCCTCTAGGGGGGGGGACCTAACCTCCTCTAGGGGAGAGGACCTAACCTCCTCTAGGGGAGGACCTAACCTCCTCTAGGGGAGAGGACCTAACCTCCTCTAGGGGAGGACCTAACCTCCTCTAGGGGAGAGGACCTAACCTCCTCTAGGGGGGGGGACCTAACCTCCTCTAGGGGAGGACCTAACCTCCTCTAGGGGAGAGGACCTAACCTCCTCTAGGGGGGGGGGGGCCTAACCTCCTCTAGGGGGGGGGACCTAACCTCCTCTAGGGGAGAGGACCTAACCTCCTCTAGGGGGGGGACCTAACCTCCTCTAGGGGGGGACCTAACCTCCTCTAGGAGGGACCTAACCTCCTCTAGGGGGGGGGACCTAACCTCCTCTAGGGGAGAGGACCTAACCTCCTCTAGGGGGGGGGGACCTAACCTCCTCTAGGGGGGGGGACCTAACCTCCTCTAGGGGAGAGGACCTAACCTCCTCTAGGGGGGGGGGACCTAACCTCCTCTAGGGGAGAGGACCTAACCTCCTCTAGGAGGGACCTAACCTCCTCTAGGGGGGGGGGACCTAACCTCCTCTAGGGGGGAGGACCTAACCTCCTCTAGGGGGGAGGACCTAACCTCCTCTAGGGGAGAGGACCTAACCTCCTCTAGGGGGGGACCTAACCTCCTCTAGGGGAGAGGACCTAACCTCCTCTAGGGGAGAGGACCTAACCTCCTCTAGGGGGGGGACCTAACCTCCTCTAGGGGGGGGACCTAACCTCCTCTAGGGGAGAGGACCTAACCTCCTCTAGGGGAGAGGACCTAACCTCCTCTAGGGGGGGACCTAACCTCCTCTAGGGGAGAGGACCTAACCTCCTCTAGGGGGGTCCTAACCTCCTCTAGGGGGGGACCTAACCTCCTCTAGGGGGGGACCTAACCTCCTCTAGGGGGGACCTAACCTCCTCTAGGGGGGGACCTAACCTCCTCTAGGGGAGAGGACCTAACCTCCTCTAGGGGGGGACCTAACCTCCTCTAGGGGGGACCTAACCTCCTCTAGGGGGGGCCCTAACCTCCTCTAGGGGGGACCTAACCTCTAGGGGGGGGACCTAACCTTCCTCTAGGGGGGACCTAACCTCCTCTAGGGGGGGACCTAACCTCCTCTAGGGGAGAGGACCTAACCTCCTCTAGGTGGGGACCTAACCTCCTCTAGGGGGGGACCTAACCTCTAGGGGGGGACCTAACCTCCTCTAGGGGGGACCTAACCTCCTCTAGGGGAGAGGACCTAACCTCCTCTAGGGGAGAGGACCTAACCTCCTCTAGGGGGGGACCTAACCTCCTCTAGGGGGGACCTAACCTCCTCTAGGGGGGGACCTAACCTCCTCTAGGGGGGACCTAACCTCTAGGGGGGGACCTAACCTCCTCTAGGGGGGGACCTAACCTCCTCTAGGGGAGAGGACCTAACCTCCTCTAGGGGGGGACCTAACCTCCTCTAGGGGGGACCTAACCTCCTCTAGGGGGGGACCTAACCTCCTCTAGGGGGGACCTAACCTCTAGGGGGGGGCCCTAACCTCCTCTAGGGGGGGACCTAACCTCCTCTAGGGCAGAGGACCTAACCTCCTCTAGGGGGGGACCTAACCTCCTCTAGGGGGGGACCTAACCTCCTCTAGGGGGGACCTAACCTCCTCTAGGGGGGACCTAACCTCCTCTAGGGGGGGACCTAACCTCCTCTAGGGGGGACCTAACCTCTAGGGGGGGACCTAACCTCCTCTAGGGGGGGGACCTAACCTCCTCTAGGGGAGAGGACCTAACCTCCTCTAGGGGGGGGACCTAACCTCCTCTAGGGGGGACCTAACCTCCTCTAGGGGGGGACCTAACCTCCTCTAGGGGGACCTAACCTCTAGGGGGGGAGGACCTAACCTCCTCTAGGGGGGGCCCTAACCTCCTCTAGGGGGGTCCTAACCTCCTCTAGGGGGGGACCTAACCTCCTCTAGGGGGGGACCTAACCTCCTCTAGGGGGGACCTAACCTCCTCTAGGGGGGGACCTAACCTCCTCTAGGGGGGGACCTAACCTCCTCTAGGGGGGACCTAACCTCTAGGGGGGGACCTAACCTCCTCTAGGGGGGGGACCTAACCTCCTCTAGGGAGAGGACCTAACCTCCTCTAGGGGGGGACCTAACCTCCTCTAGGGGGGACCTAACCTCCTCTAGGGGGGACCTAAC